TGGAGACTCCTGGATTCCCTAGTCAAATCCCCTTTGCTGGCCTTCAGTCTCATCCCCATCTTTAATGTGTTGGGATCTTACATTTCAGGTCCAGCAGGAGTCTGTATTTCCTTGCACTGACAGAAAGGGAGCAAGAGAGGCAGAATGGCTGAGGAGTAAGGCCTTGGTTTGCTAGGCTGGGGGACAGGATGACTGACAAAAACCACTTACACAAAAAAAAATAACTTTTGATGAGAAGTTTGTTCCTTCTGCTTATATTTCTAAGTGAATTAGAATAAAAATGAATTAAATAAAGAAGGGATCATATTTTACATCCATACACACATCTTCATTTTAAATGAACATGAAAGTTTATCTATTCTTCAACTTTAAGGTATGTTTGAATGAGACTATATAGGTCAGAAATATATTTGAAATATCTCACCTGTCTCGTCATTTGCCAAACACAATCAATAAACTGAAGAAATATTGGTGACCGGTCAGCATCTGCATGATTGTCATTGCCATGGCCCACTCGCTGTAAAGAAACAAAAGGTTAAATGCTTTAACGTATGCCACAGTCCTCTCAAAAGTCACTTTAAATTACCTGGTGACAAGAATCATGTCTCGCTCATATGTCCCAAGGCCTAACAGAATTCTGGCACATAATAGGCACTCAAAAATGTTTACTGAATTGAACTGACTTTCGTTAGTCTTAGGAAACAAAATTCCAGTGTATTGTATTTTTACATGTTGATTATTTTATAATGTTTCTTTCATATAGCTGGGATCAAGAGTTATAAGCAAACAGCCATCATTTTTCAGTCCAAATGATGGGGTCAACCCTAGCCACCACACCAAGTGCGCAGTGTCAATATGGGACTACCAATTAGCAGCTCATAAAGCACATTATGACTGCCATTTTCTCCACAAGTGAAAAAAATGTGGTTTTTTCCATTGTTCAGAAATGTAGGGATATCTGAAAATAAAAATAATAATTAACAGTATACAAATATTAATCAATTCTACGACTCGGAGAACCCCAAAATCTCACTCTTGAAATGGTAATGCGTAGAGTCCTTGCTCTAGGGAGTCCAATGTTGTATTTATTTTTTCCAGTTTTGAGATATAGTTGATAACTAGAATTCCCTTTCATGCCTTTTGATATTTTAGAAGATAGTGACAGATTCATACTAAGAGTAAAAGATAATTTCAAACACATAAATAGGACTGAATAAAAAACATTGAAAATAAGTTAAACAGATCAAAAGTGAGCATTCTAAGAGAAGCTTCAAGTAATCTGATGATTCAAATAAACTAAGCAAAAGGAAGAGAAAGAAAATACATTGTGAAGATACAACACAACCACCAGTCATTAAGAGTGAGAAATACTGGGTCTATGAAATTGCCACCAGGAAAGACATAAAAACAAGGAAATGACCAAGACAATGTCAACACCTCAGAGCAACATTGTATTGCCTTTTTTAAAAAAATTTTTAATTGTGGTGAAATATTTTAACCAACTTAACCATTTTAAGTGTACAGTTTAGTAGTATTAAGTACACTCACATTGTTGTGCAGCCATCACCACATCCATCTCCAGAACTCTTTAATCTTCCCAAACTGAAACTCTGCCCCCATTGAACAGCTCCCTATTCCCCCTCTTCCAGCCCCTGGCAACCACCACTCAACTTTCTATACATTTGTAAGCTCTAGGGACCTCATATAAGTAGAATCACACACTATTTGTCCTTTTGTGTCTAGCTTATTTCACTTAGTAAAATGTCCTCAAGGTTCATCCATATTGTAGCGTGTATCAAAACGTCCTTCCTTTTTATGACTGAATAATATGTATAGATCATATTTGTTTATCAGTTTATTTGCTGATGGACTCTTGGGTTGTTTCCACATTTGGGCTGTTGTGAATACTGTTGCTATGAACATGGCCCTTCTGCTTTCATTTCTTTTGGGTATATACCTAAAAGCAGAATTTCTGTATCATATGGTAATTCAATTTTTAATTTTTTGAAGAACTGTAAACTGTTTTCCATAGCAGCTGCTTCCATTGCCTTATTTCTGTACTTCCCCTTTATAAAATAATTCATAGAATCTGCTCTTCAGTACTTACGGCACCTAGGGAACAGTTTCACACTGACAGTTCACAATTTAGGATTCATTCTTTCTTTTAATAGACATTAAAACTCCTATCATGTTTGTAACACATCTTGCCTGGCCCTCAGTATTTCAGGCATTTTCATGGTATCTAGTAGAGTCCAGGCCTTTGGCTAGGCACCTGGGGTACAAAGACAAATGAGACACGGTACCTGTGCTTGATGAATAATTAATTTATGGTCTAGTCATAGGAGAAAGACCTATAAATAAGAAGGGCAGTAAAGTGTTCCAAGGGGTATGGTGGGGCCACAAAGGAGCAAGTAGCCATATTAAGATGGGGTAGATAAGAGAATGGGGAAGGAAAGTCACACAAGTCAGTAATGGAGGAGGTCTCACTTGAGATAAACCTTGAAGGACAGGAAGATGCCTGCTTCCTGGCTGGCCACGGAGATAATATATCAGAAGCAGTAGGGGCACCAGGGGTGCCATTATTAGCTGGATACAGCTGAAGCTCAGAGGATGAGGCACAGGAAGGGAGGAAAAATGAGGCTGAAAAGGTGAACTATGGCCAGATCACTAAGTGCCACGAATGTTGTGCTGTGGAGTTTGCCCACAATCCCATAGGCTATGGGAAGGCTCTGAGGGATTCATGTTGGGGAGTGGCAGAATCAGATCTGCTTCTTGGAAAGCTCCGTCTGGCTGCAGTGAGGACACTGAATTGGAAGGGTATAGTCAACAGAGAGGCTAGTTAAGAGACTGCCACAATAGTCCCAAGGGAGATGGCCAGGCCTGAATTAAAGGGGCATCAGTGGCAATGATGAGAGGAAAGATTTGAAATACATGCGTTTAAAGTCATGGGACTGGCCGAGGTCACTAAGAGATTAAGCACACAGAAGATAAATGATCCAATGAATAAACACTGGGGAACCCCAAAATTAAGAGGTTGGGGAGAGAGGGAGGACTGGAAGGTAGGAGGAAATTCAAAAATTTAGAGAGACCTAGAAGCCAAGTGAAAAAGCATTGCCAGAGGAAGGGAAGAAGCAACAGCATCAAATACGCAGGCTAAATAGAAGGACTTGGCAGAGTGGCTGTCATTGATGACTGTGACAACAGCAGTTTCGAGGAGGGGGTGTTGTGTGGAGGAACTCTGGCTGAAGTGGGTTAAAGACAGACCAGAAGGAGATAAAGTGATAGTGAGTGCAAATAACAGCTTTTGCTGGAGGAAGAAGCAACAAAGGAGTTTGTGATAATGTTTAAAATAATAACAGGAGCTAAAACTTACCCACACAGCATGGGCCAAGCACTGCCCTAAACACTTGATACATATAAACTTATTCTCACCCCATGACACTCCATTTCAAAGAAGGGAAATCAAGGTGCAGAGAGTGAAGGCATGTGTCCAAGGATCTGACAACAGCTCCCAAAGGGATGCTATGGAACTTCCCTTCCCTCTTTTCCCTGAGAGTGCATGCACAGTGAGTATACTCAGCACCCTCAAGGCTGGAGCTACTTAATTCCTTGAATTGTTCATCCTTCTGCTTTCCACAAGCGAGTTTGAATGGGGTTCTGGTAATACTCCAATTCAACACAAGGTTCAGGCAGAATTCCCAACAGTTCAACAGCCTGAGCAGGCCAAGAATTAGTTGCCATTTGGACTTAAAAAAAAAAAAAAGGCAGCCCAAGAATGCCCTACCAGATGACCCAGCAATCCCACTCCTAGATATACCCAAAAGTGAAAGCAGTCTGTTATGAGCTGGGTTGTGCCGCAACCCCCTCCCCATTTTGTATGTTAATGTCCTAAGCACCACTAATCTCAGAATGTGACTATATTTGGAGATAAGGTCTTTAAAGAGGTCATTTAAAGAGATGATTAAGTTTAAATGAGGCCATTAAGGTGGGCCCTAATTCAGTCTGACTTGTGTCCTTATAAGAAGAAACTTGGACAGATACACCCAGTGGAAAGATCATGTAAAGACATAGCGAGAAGGTAGACATCTACAAACTAAGGTGAGAGGCCTCAGGAGAAACCTGACCTTGTCACAATCTTGATATTGGACTTCTGGCCTGCACAACTATGAAAGAAACTTCTGTTGTTTAAGCCACCCAGTCTGTGATAATTTTTGTATAGTAAAAACTTTTATACCAATGTTCACAGCAGTGTTATTCACAATAGCCAACAATCCAAGTGCATATCAACAGATGAATATGCAAAATGTGGTATACACATACAATGGAGTACTATTCAGCCATGAAAAAGAATTAAAATTGCCCTGGCTGGTGTAGCTCAGTTGGTTGGAGCGTCATTCCATGCACCTAAAGATTGCAGGTTCGATTACCAGTGAGGGCACATACCTAGGTTGTGGGTTTGATCCTCAGTGGGGGTGCATATGGGAGGCAACAGATTGATGTTTCTCTCTCACATCAGTGTTTCTCTCTCTTTCTCTCTCCTCCCACCCTCTCTAAAATCAGTAAAACATGTCCTTGGGTGAGGATTAAAAAATAAATAAAATCCATGACATTAAAAAAAAAGAATTACATTGATATATGCTATAACATGGATGAAGCTTGAAAACATTATGTTTAGTGAAACAAGCCAGTCACAGAAAGACAAATACTGTATAATTCCACTTATATCAGGTACCTAGAATAGGCAATTCATTGAGGAAGAAAGCAGGTTAGTGGTTGTCAGGATCTGGGGGAGGGAGGAATGGGAGTGACTGCTAAATGAGTACAGGGTTTCCTTTTAGGGTGATGAAAATGTTTTGAAACTAGATAGAGGTGGCGATTGTATAACATTGTGAATATACTAAATGCCACTGAACTCTAATCTTTATTTTTTTAATTTTTATATATTTTTTGTTAATCTTCATCCAAGGATATTTTTTCAATTGATTTTTAGAGAGAGTAGAAGGATGAGGGAGAGAGGGAGAGAAGGGGAGAGGAGGAGAGGGGAGACACTGATGTGAGAGAGGCACATCTACTGGTTGCCTCCTGCAAGCACGCCGGTCACCCCAACCAGGGCTGGGGGATCGGACATGCAATCCAGGTATGTGTCTTTGACCAGGAATCGAACCCGTGACCTTTCGGTGTACAGGCCGACACTCTAACCACTGACCTGCAATGGCCAGGGCCTGAACTCTATACTTTAAATGGTTAATTCTATGTTATATGAATTTTACCTCAACTTTTATTTTAAAAAGTCATACCTACATTTGAAAAAAAAAAAAGAATGCCTTACCAGAAATATACAGTGCTGAGGGTCCTGATAAGAGCAGAAAGCCTGTGCACATGTGCATGTGTGTGTATACATGTTCAGTGATATACACATGCATGCATATGATAGAGCAAAGCAGTCAAAGCATGCACTTATCTCAACTTACCAGTGCAAATCTATGTCCAAAACTTATCCATTCCTTTTCTATGAGAGTCTCAAATCCTTTAATGGTGCGGTAATAACTATCCAACATCAGCATAGCCAGAGATGTAAGCTGGGCTGTTCGGTCCCAACCGTCGCTGCAATGTACCACCACTGAGGTTTTCCCAGATTCTATTTTATCAGCAATTCTCACTGCCCCGGCAAGAAGCATCTTCAGAAAAGAAGGCACATTAGACCAAGCAACATTTAATTTCTATTATAGCAAAAATAATTATGAGGAGAACACTGGAAGTTCAGGTCAATAAACCAAACAAGAATGGAATGAGCATTTGACAAAAATCCAGCACCCATTTTTGATAAAAACTCTGAGCAAAGTGGGAATAGATGGAGCATACATCAACATAATAAAGGCCGTATACTACAAATCTACAGTCAACATCATACTCAATGGTCAAAAACTAAAACCATTTCCCTTAAAAACAGGAACAAAACAGGGATGTCCACTTTCACCATTCAAAATAGTACTGGAAGTCCTTGCCACATCCATCAGGCAGTAAGAAAATATAAGAGGTATTCAAATTGGAAAGGAGGAAGTAAAACTGTCTTTATTTGCAGAAGACATGATACTGTACATAGAAAACCCTAAAGACTCCACCAAAGTACTACTAAATTTGATAAATAAATTCAGCAAAGTAGCTGGATACAAAATTAACATCCAGAAGTCAATGACATTTTTATACAGCAACAATGAAGTCTCAGAAAGAGAAACTAAAAAAAAAAAAATACCATTTACCATTGCAACTAAAAAAATAAGATACCTGGGAATAAACTTAACCAAGGATGTAAAAGACCTATAATTGGAAAACTACAGGACACGTAAAAAAGAAATAGAGGAAGATATAAACAAGTGGAAGAATATACCATGTTCATGGATTGGAAGAATTAATATCATTAAAATGTCCACAATACTCAAAGCAATTTATAGATTCAATGCAATTCCTATTAAAATACCATCAGCACATTTCACAGATCTAGAAAAAATATTCCGAAAATTTATATGGAACCAAAAAAGAGCCCAAATACCAGCAGCCATCTTGAGAAAGAAGAACAGAGTGGGAGCCATCATTTACTGGATATCAAACTGTACTACAAAGTCACTGTAATCAAAACAGCCTGGTATTGGTACAACAACAGACATATAGATCAATGGAACAGAACAGAGACCCCAGAAATAGACCCATGCCACTATGGTCAGTTAATATTTGACAAAGGAGGCAAGAGCATACAATAGAGTAAAGACAACCTCTTCAATAAATAGTGCTGGGAAAACTGGACAACTACATGCAAAAGAACGAAATTAGACTACCAACTTACACCATGCACAAAAATAAACTCAAAATGGATAAAAGGCTTAAATATAAGTCGCAAAACCATAAAATTCCTGGAAGAAAACATAGGCAGTAAAGTCTCAGAAATCCCATGTAGTGGAATTTTCACTGATACATCTCCTAGGGCAAGAGAAACAAAAGAAAAAATAAACATATGGGACTACATCAAACTAAAAAGCTTCT